AAAATCATGTTTCTGTTCCTTGATGGCCATTTCATCCCAATTAACTTTTCTAGTTGCTGTTCTATTATTATCTAGTGATTTTAACAGCCTTAAAGACATCTTATCTACTCCAAACAGTCCCTGTACATATAGCTGTAAAATACACTTCCCCAATTCTCCACTATGTCGGTATCACTGCTTGTTAAAGTTTTGTAGCGAGGTGCCATGATTCACATGTATGATCCCAGTGCTTGGGAGGTTCAAATTCAAGTCCCACCTGGGCAATTTAGCAAGGCCCTTGGGGTTGGGGATGTATTTCAGCAAGAAGGGCCTTCTTTGTTTCAGCATTCAATCCTGAAAAGCACATCCTGTATTGCTCTGTTGTGAATTTTTCCGGCAAGGTTAGAAAAGTCAGGTATGTGCATGTACACATAAAGCCTGATGCTCAAGACTTTTTCTAAATTATGATATTTTCTAAGGAGAAACTCAGTAATGTTTATAAAATTCCTTTTAAGTATAGATAGGCTCTGCTTCAAAACTTTTAGTTCATAGCTACTGTTCAAAGGAAGTAAAATTAGAGTTGTAAACAAAAATGTCTCCATTTGTACAGCATTACTTGAAATAGAGAAAAGTTTTACAAAAAGTTAAAAATAGAAATAAATGTCTTAGTTACTTTTCTTGTTACTGAGATACAATACCCAACCCCCAAAGTTAAAGGAGGAAAGGTTTATTTGGCTCACAGTTTGTAGAGGTTTCAGTCCATAATCAGCTGGCTTCAAGGCAGAGTGCTTGGCAGAGGGGCATTGCAGAGGAGAAACAGTTCATGGTGGGCAGAAGGCAGCAAAAGCAACAAGATAAAAGTGCATGACAAGCCTCTTTCTGCCGTTTTTATCTAATCCAGACTGCTGGGATTACGGTGGTGCCAATCCAATCAGTGGACTGATCCAGCAATCACCCACTCTTAACCCTAGCACCCTCAGTCCTAGCACTGAATCATGCATCCATCACAAACTCTAGATTCAACCCCCCAAAAAGCCCCATTTAAAAGTTCATGATGTGTTGGGGGACATTTGGACACAAACATGTCTATGTAATGAAAGAGTTTAGCATTGGGAACATGAGACAAGACAGATTCCTTGCATTTGAATCTCAGCTGTAACACTGGCCGATACTGCAACATTGGACAAATGACTTTCATTTTCTACATGTGGTATCCTTCTCTGTAAAATAAAAATAATAATAGTACCACCTACATAGAAAACTTTGAAACCCAAGAATATCAGCATACATAAAGCATCTATGCTTTGTAAATAGTGTTAGAATACATGAGGAAAAACTTTTCTGGATAAGAAAATTGACCACATAGTAAATGCAAATGACAAAATTGAATTATTATTATTATTGTATAATGTCTATAATAAAATATAAAGCTAATATAATTTGAAAGCTTATTATATGACAACCTACTTTCTTCTTTGTATTTTATGGGTGTTTCATACTTCTCATAAGTACTTATTATTCAAGGAGCCAATAAAAATGTTTAACAATTTTGAAAAACATAGACTGCCCTCCTACAACAGTTAAAATGTAACTACATTCTTGTAAGTGGGCACTCAAGTCAGTTTCTCTTTCTCACAACGTTTGTCAGGGCTCCATGAGAGGAATATTATGTTCCAGTCCACCTTACACATGACTTCGTGGACACTTGCTCCCAGCTCTCACTCTTGCTGTTTTGTTTGCGCAGGGCCTCCTTCCACAGCCTAGTCTTTTTGCTCCCTTGGTGCTTTTTGTTATGACTGAGTTCTATGACACAGGAGCATTCCTGTGGTTCAGGCCACTCTTACTCATCCTTCACTGAACTCTTTCCCTGCCCCTCCCTCCCTTCCCTCTCTTTTCCTCTCTCTGTTCCTCTCCCATTCTCAGTAAACACAGGCAATCTCCACATTTCTATCTCCAGTCTTCTCTTTCTCTAGATGCCTGATTTACTTCTGTGTCCTCAAGTATGACCACGATGCAAATAATTTCTGACTTCTATCTACATATTTCCTTGAGCTTCAGACCCACATTTCTAAGTGACTTGGCTGTTTCTGCAGAAAACAGAAATTTCTAAACTAATGTTTCACAGACCAAAATTCTCCTCCTGTGTACATCTGTGCGACCTGCTTAATATTATTTCTATTAATGGAATAATCAACTTTTCAGTTACCAAAGGCTTGTTTGAACTTTGGTGGTATTCTTTTAAGAGTCTGCAGTTTCAATTAATGTTTTTTTACTATATATAAATACAGATATATATTCATAGTATAAATATATAAATATACATATGTATATATCTTTACTAAATATATGTTTAAATTTTACTAAACATTTGAATATATTTAACATATATTATATATATATTTATATATCAAACATTCTTAGGTTTTACTGTATTCCTGTCTCAGTCATCTAGTTGAGGTCCTCATCTGTCTGTGCCTAGATGTTGTAATTTTCTAAGTAGCTCATCCAAAGAACTCAGAATAACTTTTAATAATGCACATTCATGGGCTGGGGATTTAGCTCAGCGGCAAAAGCGCCTGCCTGGCATGCGCAAGGTCGTGAGTTCGGTTCCCGGTACTGGAGAAAACCAAAAAAAAAAAAAAAAAAAATGCACATTCATGATGTCATGTTTCTACCCAGAAATCTGGAATTAATCTTTACTGCAGCAGACCAAATTTGAACACATCACCATTAACACAAAGCATCATTGGCTGAATGAGTCAATGAATGTATGAATGAATGAATGAGTGCACACCTATCCCCAACCCACTTGCTCCATGAGACTCAGCCAAACACCCAGGTCTTGACAAGCTGCAAGCTCTAATAATAATGAATTCTTACAGCAGGCATTTAGTGCATAGAATATTCTGTACAATTTTTCTTCACATTAAATAGTTTTAATTCATACCATGTGAAAGCGTTTGCCAAAATAATGATATGGTATTAATAATGAGCATAACACCACGTGGAGCTATAGGTGCCCCTTCCATGGTCACCTGTTTCCTAGAACAAAATCACAAAGCCTTCTGGGCCAGAGCCATGTGTTCCATTTTTCTATGCTCAGTTCCTTGCAGATTCCACTGTTTTCCCAACAAATGAAGCCAACCCTACCATGTTATTGAAAGTAATCTACTCCTTGGGTAATCAAACACATCCTATAGTACTCTGATTTTCCTCTGCTTTTCTTTTATGCATAGCATTTGTCACCTTTTGTCATATTATCATCTCTTAGCTCTTAGTTTCTCTCTCTGTATATATATCCTTGCTAGAATGTAAATTTCAGAATGTCAGGAATTTATTTTTTAAAATATTTTGATTCCTCCAAAGCATCTAGAACAGTATCTGATCCCACCTGCCTCTTCATAAAATATTCATTTAATTGAATTGAAAATAATTCATTGTCACAATTTTTAAAAATTAACGATTCTAAAGTATTGCAATCCCAAGACAAAAATCACCTAAATGAGTTTCAGTACAACGTTTGGTATTAATATATCACAATGTAAAAAATTACATGCACTTTCATGGTACCTTTAATTTAGGAAGGTGCTTTGTACAAATTTTTTGAGCTAAATTTTCACTTTGACATTTTTCCAACATATGTTTTAGTTTACAATAAATGACCAAATAATGCACACTTGACTGTGTACAAATAATCATTTTTTGTTGACAATAAATTCACTGAGCTTCAGTTATGTTTGAAAGGTAATGGTGATGTCTCATTATTATGCAGGTGATTATTTGGGAAATTGAGTGCTTTTCATAACTTCTAATTAACTTTAGCAAGCAGGGCTGGGAAACACAACTGTGGTTCATACTCACACAAGGTGAACTCCCACATCTCTGTGTTTCTTCTCCAACCTCTCCTGACTTCTCTCCCAACCTTTAAATGTTGGTCTCCTGACTTTGACCCCATGTTTGATCCTCTTTATATACATTTTTCCTTTGCTTTTCTCACCCTACTCAGAGTTTCAAGTGTGATCTTTATGCTTGCACCTTTCAAATATAATCTGTATACGAATTCAAATTTTAATATTTGCTTAAGATTATAAAAGAATTCTGACACGTGTTGATGAACCATAAGATGATTCGATGACCATCACAACATGAAATGATACTATTGTGTGCAATTTCAAATTAACAATGTAGTTGATGACCAGAAGGGGAAAACACATATTGATTGTATTTAATTATGGATGAATTAAGAATGAAATTTAGTTTCAAATCTTGGATGTCAGTGTAAGAAGTAGTTTTTGCTTGGGAATGAACCAAAGTGCAAGCAGTGAAATGTAATTGGGACTTGGTGTCCTGTTCCACTGTGTTTTAAGTTTAGATCAAATGTTAGAAATTTTTTTTTTTTTTTTGGTTTTTCTCCGGTACCGGGAACCGAACTCACGACCTTGCGCTTGCCAGGCAGGCGCTTTTGCCACTGAGCTAAATCTCCAGCCCCTGCTCCAAATTTTTGAAGATATCCAACTCTTTAAAAAAAATGTTAGCTAAGTGCCTTAACGGCATTTGCAGCTTTCTGTGATCTACCCCAACTTATTTCTGAGCAGTTCATTGTTAAGCCATTGTTCAACAGATACTTCCTGAGTTTTTACTACATATCCAATATTGTGCTCAGTGATGCTGAAATGAATTTCTGGTCTTATTTATCAAGGAGCTCATTGTCTCACAGCTTTCTAAGAAACATATGTAGACATAGTCTGTAGAGGAGCAACTGTAATTATTTTATAGTTCTCTACCCAGAAAAAGCAAAGAAAAAGTGTAGACAAGTGTATACACCAGAAGTACTGTTCTATATTGACACCAAAATTACACAGAATCAGCATCAAATAATATATCAGTGATCTACACCTTACCTGACTATCCAAATACAAGAAAGCTCTTTTTATACAGATAGACTTGCTGAACTATACAAATATGCTAAATATCATTTAAATAAAAAGGGAGATTAAAAAATTATTTTAGTACCTACTTACCAGGAAATACAGTGTTGTCTGTGTTTCTTTGGATTCGGTTTATCAGGACAGTGGTAAGATTTACTGTTGGTTTCTTAAGTATATTAAGTTTCTTCAGCTTTTTTACTTGCTTCTGAGATTCGACAACATTTGTCAGACTATCAGACCTCAAGTGCTCTATGTACCGAGTGAAATTAGATAGGGCAGCTTGAGTCTTTACTTCAATTATTGATTCCACAAATTCTGTTAGACATTTCTGCTGATGATCTGGCAAGGAACCTTTTATCCACTTAGGTGTGGTAACATTTAGTTCTGATGAACTTGTATTATCACTATGACACATCTTTAGAAATTCATGAAGAGTTTTGTTAATCAAAGAAAAATTAATCGAAAGGTGGATGGATTTTGCTTCCAGGGCCTTAAATCTGGAATTTAATACCTGCAGTTGAAGAGCTTGATCTCTCTCATTTGTGGTCATGCTTGTTTTAAGAGAAATATAATAAGGTATGAGTGTCTGGGTCACTTTAGATTCAATGACTTGCAGCCGAGTTTTAACATTTTTAAAACTTTTAGTGACCAAGATTAAATTTTCTTCCAAATGACTTATGTTTTCTTGGTATTTTATTAGTTGGGAAGTGGTTTCATTGAATATTTGGTATATCTTTTGAAAGTGGGACTGATGTAGTTTCCCATCTTTAGAAATATCTGCAAGGGCCTTGGCAACTTTTAAGACAAAATTGTATCTCTGATTGTCATTCACCAAGATCTGAATGGAATCATTCAAACTTTGGAATTGAGGAATAAATGTCAATATGGTTTCCATATTTTGGTTGCATTTATGATGGACTTCAGAATTATACTGAGTGGTATGTAAGGTCTCTTTCAGCACATAGTTATCTTGAATGAAATCAATGGCATTATTCATAATAGTCATTGTTTTATTCAGGCCGTCTTCCATTTCCAGTCCATACTCACTGATGCGGTGTTCAAAGGCATCGCCCTGCCTCTGTACTTCATTCCTAAGTAAGTTGTGTCTTCTTGTAAGTTCTTTGATAAGAAAGTTTAGACTGTTGACAGCACTAATCAGGTCTTCCACCTTTTTCTTTAGAAGTGCTGCTTCCTTTGGTTGGTCGTATGTCAATGTCTGTTGAAGGGACGCTCCCCGCTCCAGCAAGGGTTGCAGAATCTCCATGTCATACGTCAGATCATTTAGTTGCTCACCCATTTTGTCCATCTTGTTGTCCATTGGAAAAAGAACTTCAGCCAGTGTTTGGTTTAACACCAGTAAATTCTCCTCTGTGTCCTTAAGCTGAAATTTAAAATCATTCCTGCACTTAGCTAGCATGTCCTCACATTCACCCCTGATGGATTCTTTCTCCCTCTCCAAACTGGTGGTGAGATTGTCAACCTTGCTTTCTTGGGTGTGGAAATCATCAAATATTTGCAGCAGCATCAAACCCTGCTTGTGTATCTTCTCATTCAGAACAGACATGTACCCAGTGATGTTACTGCTCACTGTTTCAGCAGCGGTAGCTTTCTTCCTACCTGACTCTTGTTCGAGAGATAAAAGCTGCTCATCTACTCCTTTCATTTTAGTAAGAGTCTTATTGAGGGACTCATAATACAGAGTGCTCTTCATGTGTTCTTGTTCTAGAGCACCTTCTAAATGAGCTTGTTTCAGTTCCAGTTCTTTAATGGGTTTCTCACAAGCAGCAGTCATTTCTTGTCTGACGTTAAGAATGCGATTCTTTAGATCTACTATATCAGTCAAAGTGGGCTTATTTTCTTGGATTAAAACAGACTTCTGCTGGACAGCTATTGAAGCCACAGATTGATTCACTTGTTGTATGACTTGCCGGGTGTTTTCCAGGTCCTCTGAGAGACTGGACACAGTCTTGAAGAGCTGTGCCACAGTCTCTTGCACGTCGTTTTGAAAGACTTTAAGTTGCTCCCTTACTATGTTCTTTACCAGATCATTAATGCTTTTGGATTTCAGACCTAGCCAAAGAGATAATGAATAATAAGAAGAATATGATTTTAAGTGCCCAAGATTTTGCATATCTCTAACAAGATAAAGTTTGAGTTAAATACTAATAATGAACTAAAAAAATAATTCTGTAATTTATTTACTTATGATATTTAAAAATTATTATTATTTATAGAAGATGATCATCTTAACTGACTAATTGGACAGGAGAAGTCAATTGTAGTACTGAACATACTAGAACCATAACCCTCAGAAGATATGAAGAAACTGACTTTGGTAATAGACCCTTGAATGCAATAATTCTAGATCTAGTCTTGAATGAAAATAAAGAGCTTTGGGGTTTGTGCTTCATAAATGATAACTATTGCTAGCTCAGGACTGTGCTATTAGGTTTCTAGTTATTAGGTTCACACCTTATTTATTGATCTCATAAAAACTAATAACTGCCTTGCACAGAAGAACCTAACTGAGTTGAAGAAAAATGTGAAGTAATGGGCCCAAGACTTAACAATGCTTTGTAACAATGATAAAATAATAAAGAGATTTAGGGCTCAAAATAAGTCAACTTAAAAACAAAATAGGAATTCAAGATATGCTTGATTATGGTAGTATGGTATTCTATGGTACCTTACTACAAAGAAACAGAAAAGGAAATTTGCCACTAAAGAGCACATACTAATGCCTCCAAGATGACAAAGAAGGGCCTAGTCACAAACTAAGATGGTGGTCGGCTTGAAATGTAATATTTAAAAAAGACGGAAAAAGAAAGGAAAGGAGGAGGGTACTAGACTGATCTAAATTATTGAAAGAGAAAAATGAATACTCAGAAATATAAAGGAAAAAAGCACCATTTCATCAGAAAAAAGAGAAAAAAGAAAACAGACACGTAAATTGCACTTATATTATCTAGCTGTGAAGCCCATATAAATGGTCAGTATGTCTATCCAAATTAAAAAGTGCCAGGAACCATAAGATAAGATATAGGCAACATAACATAAAAGTTTTTCTAAAGGAAGGTCTGTATAATATTATATTACTAAATGAGTTATTATAAAATCTATTCATGGCCCAGCTCTGACAACTTAGTGAGACTTTGTCTCAAAATAAAAAAGTAAAAAAGTCTGGAGATGTAGCTCAATGGCTAGGTCCTGGGTTCAATCCCCAGTACCATCAAAATATCTATATGTATAACAAAAATTAATATATGATATATATTATATATGAACATATGATAAAATAAATATATTTCCTATGTATTTCTGTTTCAGAAGCATATTTTCAAAAGTATTTAACATCCATGAAAGACTTACAAAAATATTGTGAAAGAATAATAGTAATAAAAAATAAGAATGGTGTATTTCTTAACATCTTGATATTAATCTGGCACAAAGACAAAGTATAAATGTGAATGGCTGTTTCCAGGGACAAACACCTCTCTGGAGAAATCCATATTGCTCTAAAATTCAAAGTTGCTAAATTAAAGAAAAAATTGTTTACTATTTCTATTTTACTACTATTTCTATTTCAGTTTACTATTGGAAACTGAAATAAACTTAGATCAATTTGTATATAATAGAAATGAGTAATAAAATCATGTAAAACATGGAAGAGTAGTCAGCAACACATAGCACCAAAGTACTAAGGAAAGGAAGAAGTAATTTGAAAAGTTTAAATAACCACAAAATTATGAACTATACAGAAACATTCTTAGGCTTCATAGGTAAGAACAAACGAGAAAAGTTTTAACCATATTTTTATTTTCTAAATTATGGTTAGCACTTAACCAGTTACCTATTTATTTAACAAATGTTTATTAAAGACATTCTAAATTATATATAAGAAATGAAATTTGGAATATTAGATTTCTGATCTCAAGAACATAGGATGTTAGTTTCACTGATTGTGAAACTTGATAATAAACTATATTTAAGGTTGAAGACTAGATCCTTTTTGAGTATATAAGCTCATAATTTTGACTTGAGATATTTTTCAAGATCAAAATTTAAACTGAATGGAATTAATTAGATGTGGGCAGTGACAATAGGTGTTAAACTTAACAAAAATTATATGACCTGAGTCAGAACATAAATGATAGGTAAAAACATGGCACAGGTAAAATTCACTAAAGAATCCTGATCAAAGTAGTTAGAAAAAAAATAAAAATTAAAAATGTGAGGTACTTTAGATATAATGCTTCAAAATGTCTGTTGAAAAGTACATAGAAGAAGAAAAAAGTATAGCAGTGTCTGAAAAGGCATCAAACAAATTATTAGCTTAAAATTGTGTTTGGAGATAAAGAGCTTTTCAGATTATACTTCTATAATTTTACTACAGAAATATTTGCACAAGTTGTTTTTCATGAAATATGTCAAAGTTCCTTATGTTAATACCTGTCTGCACATACCATTATAAACTCTTTGATTCTGTTTTATGTGATGTCAGTACTTCTACATCTTAAAAAGATAACACTGTATTTTATGATATAGATATGTTGGTTTTTATGGCTTGTAGATATTCCTTCAAAACCTTATGAGCTCATAGGTAGGGCTTTTCAGAGGTGGCTGAATCTAGTTAGTATGTGTGAATATGATTTATGGGCATGTGATCACTGGGTTAGTCCACTTATTGGAATTAGCATAGTTCTGGGTATGACTGAAAGGATTTACTAAAGACAGAAGGCCCATCATGGCTGTGCGTGGGACCAATCAGCTTTTACATGGATAGAATTTAAAGTGAAAGGAAACCTTGCTGGTGCCTGCCTGCCCTGCCATGGACTGTTTCTCCTCTGCCATGCCCCTCTGTCATGCTACATTTCTTGGAGCCAGCGCACTGTGGACTGAAACCTCTGCAAATGGTGGGTGAACTAAAATAAATCTTTTTTCTTTTGACTTGTGGGTGTTGAGTATTTTTTCACAGCAACCCAAAAGTAACTAAGACAAGTGGTATCAGATTGCTCAACATTTCTGTGTTTGCCAATTTTCATAATATCTGGATATTTCATAAGGTGTTGAGGTATTTAATTTTCAATAGCTCTATGGCGTGCAGATTAAGCTGTATTCTTCACCATGAATGTGAAATAAGCAAGGGGAGAAGTTGTGGTTTTGCTGGGCAATTGGAAACGCCTTGGAGGTGGGCTTGGTTTTTGTTTCCTGTAAAAGTATTCATTAACTACAAGCCCTCTGGTTCTCATAATTAATGATTGTCCTTAGGACATAATTAATCCCTCCTGCTGAGAAGGGAATTACATCACTGTTGCTGTGAGTGTGTGTTTTTCCCTGTCAGTGCCAGAATTTTTACAGGTCAGTAGGTCACAAAAAGAGTATACATGTCTAATTCTTTCAGACTGTGATAATCAAATTTTGCTAAACAAATTTCATTCTTGTGGTTACAGCCAACTGTATATTATTAATGACTTTCCTCTTATGTTATCAATTTAAAGCAAAAACAATTTCACTTTTCTGGGTGATATTGGTATTTTTGGCCATACCACATTTGTAGAACAGGGTTTCTTTCAGTAACTAAATAGCACCAGTTATTCATGATTATAAGACAAATCATGGTTGAGCTGTGAAAGTGTCTGTACTGCTGGAGACAATGTCAAATTTCTACCTATTTATCTTTTTAAAAATCTCTACCTAGTTATCTTATTCAACTGTGAACTACAGTAGAGAAAAAATAACTTGTGAGTCATAGAAGCTGGGATGTATGGTGAGCCTTAGTTTTATGAATAAAGGGACCTGCTCTCCTGAGGCTTGGAAACATACAATAAGCAAATGAATTGGCATGCTTCTAGGAACAAAATTAATTGCCTGGCATATTCAGGACCTATCTGAAATCTCTTTGCCTGGTTGACTCCTTTTGATCTTTAACTCATTAATGGGGAGGACTTCTCTTCCTAAAAGCTTTCCCCTCTCCTCTTACACGAGATTTGTTGCAAATCTGAAATGGTCCCATTATAATCTTTGTGTAACCCTTTCATAGCAATCATTCACTGTACAAAATCTTGATACCAAAACACCAGTCCTATAACTGAAAACAATAAATTCTGCAAACATGTCAAATGAATAGGAAATGGATTATCCTATGGACCCTTTAGAACGGAATACAGCCTGTGTTTAAGCTTGTTTTAAGAGCACAAAATTTTAGCAAAGCTTAGTCTCATTTATACAGAAATCAGTATTTCTATGAAATATGATATTTTAGGATGTATTTTATTAATTATATAACATAACTGAGATGATTTCTGAAGTAATCACTTCAAATTTTTCATCAATGTTTCCATCAACAATACTGGCACAACTATGTATCTAATTGGCTTGGTATCCATCCCTTCACCAAAATCTTTGTCTTTGAGCAGGATATTACCCATAATGGATTGGGTAATAGAAATAGCTATAAATAAATAGAAATTAGGCTATAGCTATGTATACAATGAGTTTATAGTGAAAACATTTTACTGTACTATTTTATATAATTTCAGAGGTTGAGTGATTTAAAACACTCATTCAAAAAATGTCTTGGATTTCCATACAGCCCAATTTAAAGCAAAAATCCCAAAGTGACATGAAAAAAAGATAAGTGAATCATTTGCCTGTTGTCTTAACTGAATGAATAATTTATTTTATGTTACTTTACCTTTTAGAAAAGACTGAAATTCTCTGCTTTTATCGTCACTGATTTTCTCTTCTAAGGAGGAATATGTGGTCCTTAAACCATCTACAGCCAAAGAAGTGTTGTCTATCTTCTTCTGCAAAGCGGTCAGCTTCATTGCGTGCTGGTTCATCTGGTCAGTGAGTTTCTGTGTCACTGCTGAAGAGAGAGAAAGTGGGAATCATTAAAAGTCTATGTTTAGAACACTTAAATATCATGATGGGTTTAAAGATTATTCAAATAAACCATATTTGCACTAATATATTTGAACATAGGCTACATTCATTTACCAAATGGCAAACCAAAAGCTAAGGCTACTTAAGGGAAGGCATTTGTAAAAAGCAGTGTATCTTCAATTTCTAAAATGTTTAACTTTGCCCAGAATGTCAATCTTTTGTTTTCTTACATCTCAAAGAGTTATTGTCACACTCTCAGTTGTTGGAAAAAACTAAGGGTTGAAAAACAACAACAAAAAAATTTGTTTGAGGTTGCAAAGCTAATGACTCATCTTCTGCTTCTAAATCCATGCCATGACATTAAATACATGTATATATACATGAAAGAGACTGTAGCTACACTAGGAGAGTTTTGTTAATTACAGATTCAGGTTAGTTGTGGACTCAGGGTTTAGAAAGAATCACTTAATATAGCAATGATACTCTCTGTCCCTTTACATATGGAATTTAATAATTTAAGTATTTGGCAATATTTTCTAAAGATACTGAATTCTAATCCCTTTAGTATATTAGTGAACAATTTTTAAGGCATATTCACCTGTATTCTTAGAGAGATCTCCTTAAGTCAAGACTAGATCTACACTAAGCACAGTGAAGAGATGGTAGCAGTGAACAAACTAATATTGCTAAGGGTGAAGTTAAGCATTTATGACCAGAAGAAAGAGAACACAGGTGACATGCCAACTTTTGATGGACATGAGGTTCTCCATTCTTAGTCATCATTTTCCTCAGTCAGTAACTCATAGCTGCCTCCTTGTGGACTCTTAACCAACAGAAGAGAGACTTCTCTGCACTTTTAATGCAATCAACTTATTGCTTCCAAGAGCACTCTTCTCTGAGGGTAACATTTGGGTCTACTTTGGAAACATCTCCTTGCTTTATAATTCAGCATCATATTCTCTTTCTATATTTGCTTAAAGCCTTGCAACAACTTTACAAGGGAACCCATAGCACATTCAGTTGCGCCTTACATGGGGCACCCACAGGAAGGACTGAAAGATGTGCTAATGTGTTTCCATCACACATTTGACAGCCTAGAGATCTCTTGTTTGAAAGTCAAAATATGTAGTGTTGATAATAACTGGGTTGGAGAGATGGTAATTACAATCCATGACCTGGGTTGCTACAGTCTTGCTGCTGCTGAAGCAGGGTCTGCTCCCCTGTTCCTCTGTCAACAGCTGTGTGACTTTCGGCCTGGTTGCTGTGCATCAATTGCTGCTGTTCTTGGGCTGTATGGAAGGGAAAAAAAAGGAGAGAGTGTTAAGCATGGAACAGCCTCATTTTTTCAGTCCTGAGCTATAATGTGGCTGACATTCATTTTCTTGTGTACTGAAGCATGATGGCTGGGATGATTGCAGAGTAAGCTGCCCCGCCCCTTCCATAGGGCAGTGTGACTGTGACACAGTGTTGGAGTTGGAAATGCAGGACTCTAATTCTGCCTGGGAAAAGATGAAATTATTCACAATTCCTTTAGGCAAAAATGGGTCGTAGTTTGCAGGGGGAGGGGATGTAAACTGCCTGCGTAATTTGGTGGAATTTAAAATCTGCTATGTTAAAATCTACGGCAGCTTTACAAGTGGACTGGCGCAAAAGCTGATTGTTTAACAAAGCAGTTTCCAATTGGTGCCTGCTGGAAATGAGGGGGGGGCGGGTCTACAGGTTCCTGCCTGAAAACAGAGGCCTTTTACTACTGCCACTGGGGTGGGCTCTTCCCAGGTTTTTAAGAAATACACAGTCTCTAGTAGGCTAAAAGTAAAAATAAACTATTTCAAACACATCTCAGTGCAATTTCATAAGAATAGAAATCTGTATACCTAATCTTAAGGAATTCCATCTCCCACAAATCTGTAACAGGTTAGGTGGCAATGTAACTTTTCACTGGGACAAGCAATTTCAAGAGAAGAGTCATTAAAAAGTCAATAGATTAAGTAATGCAGAGTCTGAGTGAACAAACTTACTCATTGAAGGTTTCATATCAGACATGGGCAAACAAGTGTTTGGTGTCCTGCGAGGCTTGTTTTGATATGAAATTATGTACCAATAAAATTCTGTACCTCTGGTACATATTAATTATGTTCCCTAACGCATATGTGGCTGTAACAATAACACTAGAGTTTTTCTACTGTGTAAAATGTGTAATAGATTTGGCACTAATTTGGGTGAGTCTCTCTAGTTAGACTGAATTTGCATTCCTGTTCTTCAGGGCACTGAGCTAAATAAATGAATTTTGATTCATGTCCACTGTTTCCTTTTCATTTTTCCTCCACTGTGTTATATAAAGTCCTCTACAATTTTTTATTAATTCAGTGGAAGGAAATAATATGCAGCTTGGGAGAAAGTGTAATTATCTGCGGCTGAGGTGGGTGGGGGAAAGCATAAATTTTTGCCAAGTCCTCACAATAAGTTTCTCAGAGTCTAAATTCAAACTAGTCCATCCAAATATAGTTATGAAGTTATTGCATATATTTTTTATCATGCCTTCCTGCTAGATAATATAATAAGGTTTTTTTCTGGCTATTGAAGTCTGTCTATTTGAATGTCACTAGAGAGTAGAGCTGACTTTCAAATCACAGTGCCTGGATCAGAACAGCAACAAACCTTGGGAAATTTTAGACCTGCAGCTTCTAGAACAATCCCCCGCCCCCACCGACCAAATAATTTAAGAAACTCTAGGGCTGAACAGCAGTCAGTATTTCAACAAACCCTGCTCATAGTTCTCATGCACATTGGGTTTGAGCAACAAAGAAGTGAAGTTTTCTGATGTATCCCAAATCACTCTTTTCTGTTCTCTGAGCAGTGGAAGAAAATTGTTATTAATTTACGTTAACTGTGGTTACATTGTAAAGGATGAATTTGGCAGGGTACACGGGGAATGGAATTCCTACCACAGCACCTCTCACAGCTGTTTTTTGGAACTAGCATTTTGCTGGGCCCAGGCCATGCACCACACAGACGCTGGGAAGCATTCAGGGTTTCAGTAGGATCGTCAGTTTGCCTCTGCCTGCGATGGATGTAGTGCTGGAATTCCTGAGTTATTTGGTGCTTACTTTAATTGATTTTCTCAAACATCCTAATTCTTCTAAATGTGTTATTATTTGATAATTATAACCCAGGAATTTACTGTGAGTTACTAAAACCACTGAAAGAAGTTTAAATTGTTAAAGCTCTTTTTTTCAACATCATCAGTGTGAATTTTTCAAATCTAAGAAAAAATAGAAATTTTATGAATTGAGGCTAGTACTAGAATAGGTAATGACATGCAAAAATTAATTACTATAAAACTTCTCAGTATACACAGTGTAAAATAACACCAAAAGAAAATCAATATGAAACAAGTTGTGTTTATGAAATGAAAATTTGTTTGATTTTCAATAAAAATTAGTATGTTATTTTTATTTGATATAGAAATGTTAGGGCTGAGGATTTAGCTCAGCGGCACAGTGCCTGCCTGGCAAGTCAAGGTCGTGAATTCGATTCCTGGTACCAGAAAAAAACCCAAAACAACAACAACAACAAAAAAGATATAGAAATTTTAGATTCAAATAATGCTGTAAATATGTATTATTTAAAATCAAAATTACTACACTTATTTTTCATCACAACTGCATTTACATTATACTAAGGTTCACCTGCAATCATTAATAATATAGAGGAAAATAAAGAACGTTATAAATTTCATTTCACAAAATAAGCATTTTTTACTAATAACATCTTTCAATGAAAGTGAACCTTTTGAAGTAATGGTTTGATGATGGTGAGATAATTAAAAAAAAACTTTAAAAATACAATAGCGAATAGTGTTAATAAAAAATAAAACACTTAGAAAATATCAGAATTTTAAACATTGTTTATATTTGAAATGATAGAGCATTTTAGAAGAGATAATTATTATCAAACTTAATATAATTATTCTGATATAGGTATATTAACATAAATCAGTTTCATGCTACTACTTTTTGTAGAACAGGTAGCTAACAAAATGATCAAACTTGTTCATGTCAACTTATAAAAGTCAAATAAAGTTTTAAAATATTATTAATGGCATTTGAGCTTTCTTGCACAAAGGATTTTCAAAATTTACTTGAAATATAAACATTAAGATGTAAAAGCAATTGCTTTCCTTTACCTCAAGAAATTAGAAGGAAAAACATCTTTATCATTAAATTAATAATATCATCATAAAGAACACTAAAGAACAAAATGTTTTCATGAAAGTTGCAGACTTTAAAAGGTACTGAATATTTTAACCAGATAGACCCAGTAGAATAACAGTGCGAGAGTAAGGTAGGAGTTTCAGGTGAAATTTTAGATAAATTTCTGAGTTTTTAACATTTTGGAATTATAAGTTACTGTTTTCAGTTGTCTGACAGAAATAATGATAAATATGTTATCACACAAGTCTTTTCTAGATGAGCTTCATATTTACTGCCATACATATAATAAAACAAAGAGAATAAATACAGATGAGAGAGACAGAGCACGAGAGACCGAAAACATACTAGAGATTAAAATAATAAGCACAAAAAAGGTATGAATATCAGTGGCAACCCATGATACTACGGCTATAAAGATATTTTTATAAATTACATCCCTTGTTGAACCACTTGTTAAATTTCATATGTACTAAAATATATATTTGAAAACTATGTATTCTACTTGAAGCAAATGTGTATTTTTGAAGTTTTCATGTTTATGTATTATTTCAAAAGAGCTCCTGTCACCCAATGGCCTAAAATAAATGGGAATGTCTTTAAAGGAGATTGAAACAGTTTGCTACATCAAATCATCTCTCAGCAAGTGACATTATTTGGGTAGTATCCATGTCACAAGGAAAAGGACACTAACACTTGGGAGAAATCAATAAATTATTTAGAAACTATTAGAATATGAGATATTTGTGTTATGTTATTTGTTATGGTTGATACATTGTGTCAACCTGGGGAGTTTAGAGGTTTGTCTAAGTGACTCAGCAGGAAGCCAGGGTGCTTACTTTGTATACATCCTGAGCCTGTGCAAGAGGAGAGCATGGAGATTATGTGAGAGCTACACGCCCCTTAGGTGGGGGTAGCCTGTTTACAATGTAAGGGAGGGAAAGAGGCTGCTTGCTGCCGTTCCCCCCTTTGCTCTTGTTGCTTTGCTATCTTCTGCCGCAGAGCCAACCAAGTGTGGACTGAAGCCTCCACAAACTGTAAGCTAAATAAAGCTTTCCTTCCTTAATTTTGGGTGTTGGGTATTTTGTTTCAGCAACGAGAGAAAATTAACCAACACACTATTTTTTGGTATATAGTTTTATATTAAATTTATTACATGTATTCATTCAAAAATATTCAATGCATTCTTATTGTTTGATTAATTCAGTAACTGATTTTATAGAATTAGCAGATAACTGAATATGATCCCTGCTCTTTCCCACCTTGTCTTCAAAATCAGAAGGCAGATTGGTTTGGTTTGGAAATTATTCTCAGGAGTTCAAAATACTTTATTAATGCTTTACTATAGTGAAGCTTTGGTTGAAATTCCAATATTGTAAGGAAATCAGTTCTTTTCATTTCGTTGTCTATACAACAATGCATATTGTATATTTAATACAGAAATTATAACATATTTCACTTGGTATGTTTTAAAGAATGGGAAAGCTACATTTCTCTCTCTGTCTCTGTCTCTCTTTGTCTCTCTGTCTCTCTGTCTATCTCTCTGTCTCTGTTTCTCTCTCTCTCTGTCTCTATCTCTTTGTCTCTCTCTCTCTCTCTCTCTCTCTCTCTCTCTCTCTCCTGGACTGGGTAGTAAAGAAAAATTATTACTTGAAATTCTCCCTCTCAAATTTCAGCTGGGAAGATTTAAAGTACTCCCTCTCCCATTTCCTCCTTTTCTCCTCCAGCTACTCCTCCTCCTTCTCCTATTCCTCTTCCTCTCCTATTTCTTTTCCTATTTTCTCCTTTGTGTACATGTGTGTATGCATGCACAGAGAGAGAGAGAGAGAGGGAAGGAGAGAGAGGAGAGGCAGAAAGAAGGAGAGAGAGAGAGAGAGAAGGAGAGAGGAGAGAGGAGAGAAGGAGAGAAAGAGAGAGAGAGAGAAAAGGAGAGAGAGAAAAAAGGAGAGAGAGACTAGATAAGAAAATTTACCCAAATGAATACCTATGAAACATTACACAAAGATCTCTGAGATCCAGTTGTCATACGAACCTTTGTCCTACTCAGTTCATTGGATGGGGTCCCTGCCAAGTCTGTTAAAACTTGAAATGCCTGTTTTACAAACTCAATAGTTCACATTATCTTTTCCTAGCTCTGTTTGTCAACTGGAGTTCAATACTTGCATTCACTCCAGTTTATTGCACAGGACTTAGCTCTTGGCCACAAAGACTCGATAGGATCTCTGACCGTGGAGTCAGTTACTCTCATGTGATGAAGAGCCTTGTTCATCGATGCTCCTTTATTCCTTCATTTACAATCTTTCTGTCTCCACAGATGTATTTTCCACCACGAAGACTGCTACTGATTCTAGGTTTTCCAAGCAATCTGTTACCTTTTCACCTGAGCACAGACCTTTGCTTTGTTCTGTTGAGTGCACATTTCCAAGTCTCTTTTTCTTGGCCTTTTCCAAGTTGTAGGTGCAGGGACAGAGAGCATTTATTTAAATAATAAGATTTAAACATTTTACGCAGCTCAGATGTTTTAAAATGTGACATAGTTTTAAAAGTGAGCTTCTTTTGTCTTATCTGACAACGTAAGAACTTCCCCTTTTCTCTGCAGTGAAAACTCTGACCTTGGCAGATCAAGGACTTAGAGAAGCAAGGTCAGCAAGTATCAAGAGCAAGAGCTCCAGCTTCCTTACTAGGTACTTTTTAAAAATTAGACAGGTTTTATTTGAAAGTGTTTTTTTCCTTCCAGGTCTTTGAGCCATATGGAGGAAGTCATTAATGGCAACTCAGTAATGAGCATGCTTGCTTTCTCCCCCTTAGTGCCAGAAAGCCTTCCTATGTGGCTTGACAAGACAGATCTCCAGCTGCTTCTCTAATAGAAAGTGGATACTTGCACAGAAAATGCTCAGTACACAGGTACAGATTTACCAGTGAAGTTGAACTAAACAGCTTGTGCAACAAAGCTTCAGGGGCAGTGCTTAACGAGATGTACGGTAATGTTACTTAGCGAGGTGCTCGTAAGAGGTAATGTCCTTTCTAAAAAGGAATGCAGTAAACACCTCTGGAAAGAACTAAATATGTAAAGATACAAGAATATAGGGCTGGGGATTTAGCTCAGCGGCACAGCGCCTGCCTGGCAAGCACAAGGTCGTGAGTTCGATTCCTGGTACCGGAAAAAAAAACCAAAAACAAACAAACAAACAAAAAAAGATACAAGAATATAGATTTTTTTTCACCTCTCTTTAACACTAGAACTTTCATTCCTATTACTGAAATACATTTAAAAATAGTCTTACAGCAAAAGCCTCATATTTAAAATATTTGCTCCAGTACTTGTTTTATAATTTGAATTGTTTCATAGCACTTGTAAAAATCTGTCATATTTATAAAATATAGTAGGGATTGGTTTATTTCAAAAGTTATGCATATTCTCATATTTTCAGCATTTATATATCAGCATATATAATATTTATGTCTATAAAATGTAACTTTATAAAATATGTTTTCTTCTATAGAAAATCTGGGTTAAAAAGAAGTTTTTAGGAAAACAAATTTGTATATGTATATGTAGCAGTTCCCCTAAATGAATGTATTAGCTGACATATACTAATAAAAAAGATCTGGAAAAAATTTTTCTTAATCATCTTTTCTAATGTAACACTATTTGAACTTCAGTTTCTTTTCTGTGTGTCCTTAAAGCAAGCCACAGTTTTGTCTTACTTAAGAATATTTTAGAGACATCTACTGGAAAGGTGCATAATTGCAAATTTCACAAAATAAGTATAAATGCCTTGAAAACCATTTCACAAAACTAGATTCCTTTCTGAAAGCAAACTTGCATGGCACCCAAAAGACATTACAAATGTAAAACAAACCAGTACTAATATTTTGATATTGCATTTAATTAACCTGTCTTCAGTAATATTCTATTCACTTAGACATTTTAAAAACTGGTTTCCTTTTCATAGTAGAACTATTTTAATAGGGTCATCTACAACTATAACTAGAGTATTTTGATTATCTGAGCCATAGATATAATGCGTATGTGGCAGATAAAAATATGGTTCAATAAGATACCAGAAAAAATTTCCCCGGGGATTGTGATGAAAAACATTTCTCATCAGAGTCTGAGGACGAAGGTACAGAAAAAGGACAAGAAAAGGACAGAGGAAGAAAAATGGAGAAAAAGGAGAAAAAGATTCCAGCACCTAACAGCTCTCTTTCATTCCCAAACTATTAATGTTTCTTACACATTTAAAAGATTTTTTTCCAACTATTATCTAAAATCAAAGGAAATGGTCGTTTCCTGTCATGGAATTTACTTTGCTTGTGTTACACGTTGGTTCAGGGTATGTAGTATTCTACAAATTTTTTATGAATAAAATAATTTTCTGACACTTTAAGGGACTCACCCTGAAATAGTTGTCGTGGTGGCTACCAACCAGGTTATTCTGCATTCTCAAGATCTCAGAAGAAATTTAAAGAACAGGTGAGCCTAAGTGATTATTCTTGCGCCTTGTGAGGCAGCCTGTCATATGAGACAGAATGGACAGTGCTGTCGAACATTGCTTATTTTACAGATGATAATTTCCTCTGCCGTAGGAGAATAAAAGACTAGTGGCACATTTACAAAGTGTGATAGAAAGCGCAGAGGAGACTTGGCATGTAATTGGGCAGCTATCAGAAGGGAAAATGTAGAGAAAAGCCCTCAGGATAGAGATAATGAAGAATGGTTCTGTGACAAAGGGACACAGTAGTTCTTGTTTCTACCAATGCATCAGTTGCACTCATAAAAAATTCAGCGGTTTTTATGGACTACCATAACACTGAAGAGAAGGGTGGTCAAGTACTGTAGGGAGCCACAGAACAAGAGATCTTTCCCCAGCCGTGTAATCAGCAGACATCTGAATTATGAGTAGTTGCAATTATGTGACTGCGACAGCAAGGTCGTAAGCACATCTGTTGAGGGACATTTTTGTCAGTTTGAATTAAGACAAAAATTTGTAAATCCGGAAACAAAGCTCTTCACAAGATGCTTTAATGATAACACAAGGTGTCCTTAAGCAACTGAAGCTAGAACCACCTGATTAGGATTTAAATATTTGATAGAATACCTTGAAAAAGAAGTATGTAGTAGGTTGTAGATATTCAAAATTGTCAAATACTCTGCTTATTTACAATGTTGAAGTTCTACGAAAGTTCTTCTTTTTTATGTACATAGGCTATCACAGACTAAGAATTGATCAACATGTATAAAAGCCTGAAGTGCGGAGAAATAGCAGTCTCTTCACTGAGACCCACGATGGTCTTTGACCCAAAGACCTTGCTCCCTGCCACTTATGTACATTCGGCCCCTTATAGGCAATCTTGTGTGTACCAGCATGTTACATTTCTGGAGAGGCACTCTGCAAACACACATTTGAAACTGCAAAAAATAGTAATGGCACTAACATTCCGAAGGTATCATTCTTCATATAAGAAGAGAAATGTAAACCTTAGAAATACAAGTGCTGTCTAGAATTTTTACTTATTTAAAAGTATGGATAAGAAATAAATATATTTAATATGGTGAATGTATTTGTGCAACTCATGGAAACCAGAAATCCTTTGAAAGCAGGGTTACACTTGGATCTTTTTAGAATATATTGTATCACCTCATTTCCAGATATTTTCAATATGGATCACATTATCTTGAGAAGTTTATTTTACCTGATTAATAATGCAGTATGTATTCATGCTACAGCCTGGAAATGCATGGTATTTTATATCATCTCTGAAATTCAAGTCAGACCCAGAACAAATAGCACTGCAGAGAAATTTGCCTACAGATTTGCACTGTATGAGCTAACAAAACCGTATATAATATCCTTAACTAAACTGCAAGTGTCCTAGAGCTCTTGTTCTATGATTCTCTTTCTCATAATGTGAATCAAAATGGCTTCTCCACACATATTAATTTTTAATCACAGTCTCTTTCACTGTTGATTGAATTCCCTACCACTGCTAATGGTCTTTCTTGTAATATTCATTCATTTAAAATATGCATGCTGGTGCCACATCTTATTTTTCAAAAGAAACCTGTGTAAAGCCCAAAGCAAAATAATAATCACATGAATGGTAGGCCACTGTGAGTTACCATGTGTTTGATCAGTCTTGCTGCCAGAAAATCCTGAAAATCTCAGTTGAAATATTTGACTCCATTAGGATTTAAAAATCTGTTCATTGCATATGTGGTATATTCTTTTTTAAATTTTTTTTTCTGGTACCGGGAATCAAACTCACAACCTTGTGCTTGCCAGGCAGGCACTGTGCTGCTGAGCTAAATCTCCAGCCCCATATGTGGTATATTCTTTACCATGTCATTTTACTCATGTACTGTGTCACTTAAAATAATTAAATTAGAATAAAATTAAGGGAAGTTATTTTTACATAGTCACTTCTAATTAGTTAATAAAATAAAATTGTACATCTCATATTTTAGTAAGCCATATCTTTGTAGTACCTGGTTAAAAACAGGGGAGATAATCAGTCAGGTTTCCAAGTACTCTTTACTCATCCTGTGAAACTGAGCAAATGATGTCGGGAGAAGTTACAGGATAGCTTCTAAGGTGTTAGGGTGCTCAAACAGCTTGCAAATCAGGAAAATTTAAAAATATAATTCTAATACTTTGGCTACATGTTAGTTTAGCTTTGTTCATAAGGAAAATGCAGCTCTTTTCCTCACAGGAATCAACTGCTTATTCTTCAAATTTTTTATGCTTCTAATTACTATTATGAAATTCCTATCAGAGCACACCTTTTAGCTGGCAATTTGGTCCACTGTATCCAGGACAGCACTTCCATTCCAATGAGGTAACGATTTTATGTTGCATCCTGTACACAGGATTAGGTATCCTCTGAGCTCTAGAAAGGAGAGCATTTGGGGAGAAATAGATTATTTAAATTATCAATCAGAATTGGAATTATAAATATAAGGTATTTGGAACAATGCCCAAATTAGAATTTAGTAAGTGTAAGCTGTTATAATACTCATCTTCATCATCAATATTATATTCAAAACTGCTAAACTTAGATGTCTTTCAATATACTATAAAAAGCATTAGTGAGTATATTGTAATTTTACATTAGTACCTGTCATTATATTTTCTAAAGGTATTATTTTTTACCCTGTAGAATGTTTAGCTTAATCTGTTAGAATTTATTTCAATTCCAGTTGGAAAGAACTTATAAGGATAACTTATTCTATTTCAATTCTTATTATTTCCTATACTATTACACTTAAAAAGATCATTTTCTCAACATTGAACAACTTGAAACAAATGAGATATTAGTGATCTAACTAAAAGTAGGATAACCACTGTCATTTTCAATCTCTACTTCATCTTCCAAATTTTAAAATTTGGAATTTTAAAATACTACTACTGTTCATGTCATATAGTATTTCAGAGAGAGAGAGAGTGAGAAAGAGAATTATTTTTAAGATAAAATTACAGACTAGAAATGAATTATAACATTTCATATCATGATTATAATTAGTGAACAGTACTAAATTACAGGCTGTTTATCTATAAATATGTCATAAACATAATTTTGCTTCGTCATTCTTATGCATATGAGTTTAATGTATACATGATGTTTATCGAATGAGTCTATGAAATAGGTATATATTACATTGCTTAATCCTCATATTAATCCTATGATAAACTAATATCATTTGCTAATGAGGAATCTGAAAAACAGACTTGTCCAAAGTCCTATACCTACAGAAATAAAAGTGGAATGTAACTAGTGTCATGGGGGTGAGCCACGCGTACAACCCTCCGTAGGAGTCGTCATGAACACCTAAGAGAAGCGCCTTCCCACACCCTGGGCTTTAGGATACTGGGGTTTCAATGCCTGCTTTAACATGGCAAGTAACTTAGTATGTCCAGTGTTATTCCTCAGATGCAAAATGAGCTACCAGGTTCTTTCCATCTCTGAAACCACATTAAATTATTCACCTACAATTCTTTCAATAAATTACATTCAATGTACAACTCTGCCCAGTGAAATATCTCCAGTCCCATTGCTGAAGCTAAGTGGGAAGTAAGGCAGTTTGAAATGGACTTTGTTCCAAGTTTGTTGAATCATGATGGGGTCGGTGTTCCTGCTTCGGTAAATGAGTATCCGTTGTATGCAGTTCAGACATAGAAGGCAAAGCAACAAATACTGTGTAAGTACTGAAATAACGAATGGAGAGAACTATCCAAATTATAAAAAGATAATACATTCAAAAAAGATACTTTCGGTAGCTTCAAGAAAAAACAAAAGATAAGCTCACCTTGAATCCAGAAAGGCAATAGAAATAGGAGTAACGTGGTGATATTTTCATTGTTGAAAAAAGAACAATACATTCTGTGTGTCATGTTGGCAAGGAAATTGCCACAAAGGGCATAAATAGGGAAAGTAGAACTGGAGCTCAGCTCCCCCAAATCCCTAAGATGTGCTTAGTTCTCTGGACCGTGACCCTTAGCTGGTCCTCGAGGGGCTAAGAAACACCTTGATTTTATGTATTCTTACTGTGCACTGTTCCAGATTGCTGATGTGTCAGGTTCACTTACTGAGCTATTTGTATGACAATTTGCATAACATTAGCCATCATGGCCTGAATAGCAATTCTAGCCTGTGTTGAAGGCTCTTCAGAAATACCTCCAGCTGAGCTACTGTGACTACATAAATTCAGAGAAAATCTCAAGTGCCCGGTCCTACATTTTAGCACAATGCTACAGATTTTACAAAAACACGAAAGCCAAATAATAAGGGTCAATAAAACAGATGCAAGAAGAAAGACCCCACTTAACCACTTTACTGTGCATAATTGCAATTAATGGCTTTTCATTTGTTAGAATATGAGCCAAGTTATGTTTGGACTCCTCTCTGACCCAGCATGAAAAACCATTATCAATAAGTCTTCAAAATTGTGCATGTATTTTATAAAGAATTAAAAGAAAGGCTTGTTGGTAAGGTGGTGCAATGAAGGTAATGATGACTGTAGGAACAGAAGTAAGCATGAGGGCTAACATACTGAACTTTCACAACGAACAAGACAAGAGGTCAAGGATGCTGTATTATCACATGTGATCCTTTAAAATAATCTTATGATACAAGTATTAGCATCTGCATTTTAATTTACTGCAGGCCATGTATCTAATCTAATGTGATGACACTCCCCTGACCCTACCTCATGTATGTATCTGGGATGACTAATTTATTTTCCCAACCACAAATGATTATGGAGCAGGCAGTGGCTCTTTTGAAGAAATGTTACCCACCTCTGAGGACAGGACCCACTGGTCCAGGCACAGGGTCCTCTCCCACTTGCCACAAAAGAGGCCTGGTTGTCCAGAATCACAGTGGGAGACAGCCTGGTGTGTACATAAGCACACCAGTTCCTAAGGGAGAAATCGGCACTGTTAGAAAAATCAGTGTCAGCGGTTATTCTTTTCATCCAAACAGCTTTTTAGGCTTATATTGACTTCTGCCAATATTATAGATCAGATACCCTGAAACACTGATATCTAGCTTTAAAATATGATAGAATAAGAGATGAAAACTGGCATATTCCACATTGTTATATTCATGGAAAATAAAGAAACTAGCAATGATAAAAATATAAAAAACTGAACTAAAACCAAAATCTATACTCTTTAGCTGTAAGGTTTCAAAATTCAAGGTTGCTTTTGAATCAGATATTAACATTAGTACTGAAATAAGAGTCTCAGATCTAGGTCTATTGCTTCATATAATGTACAGTAAGATATAATGTGTAATAGTATATAAGTAAATAAATGTTGCATAGTTTAAAACAGTAAATAATAACTATTATTAGCATCAGATGATATGATCATACATGACAAGAACAAAATATTCTAGGGGCAGAGTACAACTAAACAGAGTCCAGGAAGGTAACTGTAATATAAAATTTTACATAATTAATAACAAAGTAAACTAATTTCACAAGATCAATTATATATCTACGTACCAATAACAAATGTAAAAATCATAATATGAATAATACACTTTAAAATAGATGCAACAGAAGCATAAGATTTAATTTATAAGAATTTATTTATTTATTTATTTTTTCCGGTATCGGGAATCAAATTCATGACCTTGAGCTTGCCAGGCAGATGCTGTGCCTCTGAGCTAAATCCCCAGCCCCCCCTAATTAATTTATAAGAATTTAAAGCATTAAAGAAGAACATTTCAAAAAATGTAATAAATCATGTTAACAGAAGGGAAAAGTCAATGAAAGTGTGTTAATTCTCCTCAAATTAATCTGTACAATAAAGGTATTTTTACTGTAGTTTTATACATTTTAAAACAGCTTCGTCTATAAATTTTCAATAATAAACTAAAAACATGAAATTTGGATAGTTCTGTCTTTGGCTGTAGCAGAGTAGGTCAAACCCTTTGATCCTGTGTAGACCTTATGGTAAAAACTATGAATTTTGTCAAGATACGTAAAACAGCAGTTCTCAGATGTTGGACCACACGTTCCCATGATCCTTCAGAGAGAGACACACTGGACAGGAAATGCCCCTTCGGTTTCGCTTCCTGACTGGAACAGTTTTCAAACTGCATTCGAGGGCCAAGTATCGCTGGAAAGAGAGGACACCTGGTGAAGGAAACAGATGTGAGCCCAGCTACTGAGGAGGAGAAACCACGAAACAAGTGGGAGAGGCAGAGGCATCACTTTAAGTCAACACAAGGGCCCTCCTGAGTCTCGGGTTGAACACTGTATTTTGCATGCAGACAACCAAACTCAGACACTGAATTACAGTATCCGCAATGCTCAGCATGAAGAAACAAACAAAAGTAGGTGCAAGAAGCAAGAAACTAGGACCCGGATATGGAGTAAAACTCCAGTTAATAGAAAAAGCGAGCAAAGAAACAAAAAGCAGAGGCGAACCAGATATAACAGTGACTAAAACATTTCCCCATTGACCAGGGCAAGAAATATACAGTTTATAAGTTAAAAATTAATGTGCTAATTGAGTTCTGGATACTGCAAAAATTAAGACCAATGAACTTGATGGGACAGTAGAGGCCATCTACACTGTACGACAGAGCAGAGAACATTAAATGAGTAAGAACTCCAGTGGTCTACAACTGCGCAGTTAGACTTCTAGCGGGGGGTGGGGGGCAAAATGAATATTTGATAAAAAGGAAACATTTTCTAAATTTGATTATGAAAGCCAGCCCTCATACTTAAGAAACCCAGTGAATTCCTAAAGGGTCAACTCAAAGGAAAACTTTACTTCAGTATAGTAAACAAAAATTTCAGAAAACAACAAACAAAAAGCAGGGGGAAAAGGCTATGCTAATGAGCCTGATTTAATCCCTCCATATTGTCATTCATCTAACGCATTCACCTAAACATTGTGTGAGGGTCCTCTGGATGAGGTGTTTAAAAATTCAAGGTCCTTAAGGAGAGAAAAGGATATGTTGGCACATTTTGTTCAAGTATGGTGAAATTTGAGGGAAAAATAATACAAAAGAATTGAGAAAAACAAAAAATAAAAATAGCAGAGACTCAAAATTAAGAGGATCATAATAAAGTGATATTTTTTAAAAACCTAGATTTCCCACGCAAATCCCATGATGATCCTAGTCACTGACAACTTGTCTGTCACGTGAGTATTTGACAAATGATAACGAAAGTGGAGAGGGGAGAAGGAAAATATAGATGCAGCACCATGAGTATATATTTGGAGCTTTGAAAAGAAAAAATAGGTTTTCTCTGTGAGAGAAAATGGCAATGTCGTCCACAGCTACCTTTGAAAATCCAAAATGATAAAATAATCTCATGACCAAAATAGTTGACGAGGCAAACCAGCAGCAGCAGCAGCAGATCAGACAGCTCATGGCCCAGCAATTGTTAATCCAGTGCAACTTCAAAGAACTACCCACAGCAGAAGAGCCCCTGGTGGGACTCATAATTAGGTTTTTGCTACTGATGAAATAAGCTCATCAAGGGTGTTAAAATAGAAATATACTTTAAAAACAAAATGATCTGAAAATATGGGTTTAAAAAAATACTAAATTAAGCATGGCCAAATCGTAACAGGCATCTTAAAGGCAAATACAACGATCTTTGACAAGTATTTTGCTCAAACCTAGAAATGCTTTGTAGCTGTCGGGACTGATGGTGGTGGATGGACAGCAGTGACTCTGAAGGGTTCAGCTTCCATGGGGTCATAACCCTGCATCCCGCAGCCTGCGGGATCTCTCTAAGGCAACAACTCTTTAGCTTTTGTGCAGCAGCATGTACTGAAAACTGCTTGTATTGATTCTCTGGATTTTCTAAGTTGTAAGTTAGAGGTTTGGTCTAGGGAGAAGCAGATATCTGTGGTTATGAGTAAAAGCCTGGCTCGCTGCACACATAAAACAAGATGAAGAATGTTCTGTTAGGACTTGTGAAACTCAAAGGCTTGTTTGTCACAAATGAACAAAAGACTTGTAAATAATCTGCTGTTTATTTTTCATATTGATCTTTTGGGAAGGAAGATGAAAAGACAAAATTAAGAAAAAATTTCATTAATGAAGTCAGAGCCCAATCATATTAACTCTTCTTGACCGGATCAACAAGGATGCTTTTAGATAAGGACAGCACAGGATATTGTCTGTGAGAAATAAAGGGCAGCAATCTAAGCGCTAACAGTTCAGTTATGCTAGTCCTTAGAACTCAAATGAATAAATTGCTTGTCATTCAGTCTCTATGAGCCTAAATATTTAAACTTCCGCACTGGTAACCCATGGTTTGAACTGTCACATCACAAAAAAGTATCCCGAGGAGGCTCATTAGGGTAAAGGGAAACGAACAAAATCCCTGCATCAATCAAGCCAGTGGCCTGCAATTTCCCTGCAAAACTGGAAAAGATTTTATGTTTGGGAGAGGCCTTACACACTGAAAGACCTTTTGTTCTGTCATCTTGCACAGAGATGAATTCAGAAATCCAAAAAGGAACAAGAGGAAAATGAAATAGGCTGATCTGGTCGTTTCCACCTCTCACCTAATATCCAGCCAGGCCTCCCTGACTCAAGAAACTGTCATATTACAAATGACCCCATTTCTTTGCTTTGTACCTAAAAATGAGTATGAATTATAGATGACAAGAACATATACATGTATTAATAATTCATACATGCCTCAGGAAAACCCAAGTCTCTGGTGGGATTTAGAAAGAAATATATTAATTAATCCTTTATAAGGAAATAACTCATTCATATTATCACTAATTTATCACATGAAGAGCCCTATATCCTTAATTATAAGATAATGACTATACGGAAATACTTAAAATAACTAAGTTTCACAATTACCAATAGCAAAATGATAAAATGACAATGTTGTATATCATCGTATACTAAACTCAAGTACACAGTGATTAAATCCTCACCAGTTCAATGATAATAAGTGGGATAAACACACCCTAAATATACCAAAGATAGTCTTGCATTTTTAATGACACATATTTACTGCTTTTGCAAGTTCAACTTGCTCATTTCACTCTCAAGTTCTTCATATAATTCTAACATAATTCCTTCTTTTTTACCTTTATATACAGTAGTAAAAAGTACTTTTTAATTTAATTTAATTTTATGTTATTTTTGTTTGTTTGTTTTTGGAGCAGGGTCTCTCTCTGTTCCCTACCTAGCTTCCAAATTGCTCTCTTCCTGCCTCAGCCTCCTGAGTAGCTGGGATTACAGGTGTGTATAACCACTCTCAACTAGCAGTTTGTTTTAAAAGGAAAACAGAAGTTTAAAAGCAATATTGTACCTTAAATCTATTTTTGTTGATGGTAGTCAGCATGGAGGGAAATATTCAAAAAAAGGTTCACTTTGTCCAATATTCATTTAAATCTCTATGGATAAATATATGGTTTAAATTACTGAAAAAAAGGAATAGACTTTAAATAGCACCACCAGAGTAAATGTTCTCCTTAGCACAACAGCCAAAACATAGAAGTAACCTATGTCATTAATGGACGAATGAAAAAAAGACCACTTTGTCTCTGTCTGTCTGTCTCTGTCTGTCTGTCTGTCTCTCTCTATATATAGATGGTGGACATTATATATATGTATATATATTTATATCTTTATATTTATATATTAGATAATATTTAAATACATTCACTAAGAAAATGAAACCCTATTCAGCCATAAAATGGTACATGGAAAATCTGATAGATTTTACAACATAAGTAAACCTTAAAGGTGTTAGACTAAGTGAAATAAACTAGTCACAAAGAGACAAATACTGTACAATTCCAGATCAGTGATAAGATCTAGAGTAGTTAAATTCACAGAAACAAAGAATGTGGTTGCCAGGGGTTAGGAGGATGGAGGAATGGGGACTATTTTTTGATAGATAAAAACCTTCACTTTG